TTTTTGGCAGATAGCTTTGGAAACACGTTTTTGTGTTTGTTTGTTTGTTTGCATTTTGTTTGGTTTTTTTTTTTGTGGTTATCCTCTCACTTAAAATATCGCCAGAGAGAGGCAATAGTAGCTTTTTAAATATGATTAAATCTTTCAGCCATGCTGTCATTTAAGGAAGTCAGATAAGGAACTTTGAAACAACAATATAAATAATGAAAATAACTGTGTCATTCCTCACTGGGTATCATCAGAAGCACTGAACTGTGCTGGGTTATCTTTCTTCAGTGCATCTCTAATATATGAAATTTTCATTTAACTTTGCATTTCCTAGAGTTTTTCAGCTGCCAGTGTGTTATGAACAAGAGCAATAAAATATTATTTTCTATTTTTTTCCTTTCCAGTTGTTTCTTGTCATTGCTCCTGGTGGCAGCTGTGGTTTGGAAGATTAAACAAAGTTGCTGGGCATCACGACGGAGAGAGGTGAGAGGGATAAAGTGTTTGTCCTTAAATTACTTTTTAATAGTTGTTCTCTCTAGATGCATATTTATTCACATATGCATCACATTAACCTTAAATTGAAGGCTAAGCTAATTCAGATAATGCTGCTGTTTAGGCCTTTAGCATATTTTTGATTACAGTTTCAGTGACAAATAATGTTATTTTAGTATCCTGTTGCTGCAATTTCTGTGAAGCACCAAAAAAATAGGGGTGAATATCCTGGATTCCCAGAACTTTTACATAAATGAGGAGATTCTTTATATCTGTTTCAAAATAGGAAATAGAAACATTAGCTCTTATGTAATACATTAAAAAAAGAAGTCAAATCCCCATTTTCAAATTAAATCTTATTCAGATATTTTGGTTGGTTGATTTTTTTTCTGCCCTGGAACATTAGGAGTATAAGAAAAAGGTGGGAAAGCCACCCCAGTGGCTTACCCCTACAAAATGTTTTAGAACCAAATTTTTTTCCTCTTCACCTACCCATGGTCCAAATGAGCTTTATAGCTTTTGTGTTTGCATCATGCAAATAACTTAGTGCTTTACATGCCCAAAATCTGGTTCCTTCTTGTTTATCTCTGATTTATTTTTGTTCACTACTTTCTTTTCTTGCTTCTCAGTGGAGCCTGATCTCCTGTTCCACTGAAGCACTCAGGGTGACCAAGGTGAGGTGGCAGTTGTTGTGGCACAGAGAACGTGTCCTCAGTCCCTGATTTTCAGCACAGATGCCCACGTACACAAGTTGTGTTTTAGAGAAGTCCTGGGTGCCACAGGCAGCCACCCACACACCCATTGGGTTTTCTTGGTGTGCTAGGAGCATGGAATATGTAGCTATCAGAGGCTGGGCTGGGCTGCACCTGGAATTATTTTTAGGAGCTTGGTCTTGTGTTAATCTGTTTATTTCTGCGCAAAATGAGAGAAGCCAGACATCATTTGAGCGAGTCCATGTGCCCTTTCTGTATGTAGTTACTTGTAAGTCATCACCTGAGGCCAGATTTCCTGAGGAATGGGGTGTGTTTCTCCCCTGCTTTGGATTTTCATGTGAGATCTGCCCATTCCTCTAGGTTTTCCTCCCAGCTGTCCTGCTGGGCTGAAGCTCTTGGCAGCTGCAGACACCCACCCATGTCACTGTTGTGTTCAAGAGTGGTTTGCTCCACACAGGAGTTGATCAAGAGGATTTGGAGGATTAATTTTTATGCTGTTGGAATTCTTTGCAAGTCCCTGTTTCCTTCATATCTTCAGAAATCTGTAGCTGGTTGTACTTTGCAGTGCAGTGGTGTGAATAATATGAATTTATTCCATGTGAGGAGCTCCTCTCTGGTAATAAAGCAGGATGATGTCTGATAACTCTTCTCTTCTTCTTCCTCTTTCTGCTTCAGATGTTTCTGCTCTTACTGGAGAACTCACTGCAGAATATAATCATTGCTTTTCAAACAGATAACCCTTAATCTTGGAAATAATGGAAGTCTTTGAGGTTTTCTGTATTCTCTGAAGGTAGATAAATTTTTACTAGGGCAGCTGTTTTTTTCCCGCTTGCTTTCTTGGCAAGAAAGTAAGCTGGAGTCAGCATAACATCCCTTGTGGCTCCTGAGGGTTAAATGTTATCTAGGAATGTATAAGGAATATAGACCAAGAAGTAAATACTGTGCTTTGGAGTTGAAGTATTTGAGTGGTGGCCTTAAGTGAGAAATGTCTCTATAAATTAAGTTACAGTCTGATACATCTTTTAAGGAACAAAAAAAAAAACCAAAAAACAAAAAACAAACAAACAAAAAAAACCCCAAACAAACAAACCCTGGAGTACTGGCAACATATTGGCGTGTTTCAGTCTAAATTCAATGTACATGTGTGGCTGTTTGACAGGCAGTTCATCAGGGTGGTGTTTTCCAGGCACATTCCTGTCTTTTGCTGTTATTTATCTTCCTCTCTCTTTTTATCTAGTGTAATGAATGGATTTCTGTTGTTCCATTCATCTTCTGTTAAAAATATTGTAAATCTTGAGGAAACAGTTTAAAATCTTTGTGCCATAATTACATGTATTAATACACTTTCTCCAGAACCAAAAGGCCACCCAAGAATTTGTTATCTAAGATGATTTTACAGCTTGAATGTGGAGGTTTTTTTACTGATTCTTGGTAAACCCAAGCAAAGGTCTCTAGTAGTTTTAAATAATGATCAATGAATGCTTCATCCCAGGCCAGGTTGGACAGGGCTTGGAGCACTCTGGGATAGTGGAAGGTGTCCCTGCCCATGGCAGGGGTTGGAACTAGAAGATCTTCAAGGTCCCTTCCAACCCAAAGTGTTCCATGATTCTATAAAATGCTGCAGCCCTGAAGGAAGATCTTTCTCTGTTTTGGGCTGTGTTTTTAGCAGTAGTCAAGTTACAATCACCTGAGTCTCATGTCTGTAGTAACTCTGTAGTAACTTGCCATTATAATAACTTGTGTGTAGTAATTCTGTGCTTGTTTGATTTTAGCCCAAGGCCAGTAAGAGATGATGGAATGTGCAGGTAATTCCCAGCTGTCCATCCCTTCTGCTTCCAGCAGGAGCATTGCAGCTGCCCAAATCCTTATGGCAGTGACAGTGACAAGCTGCTGGCTGAGGCTTATTCTGACATATGTGTAGGGCAGGAAAGGAGTGTGCTGCCAGGTTCAGTGGTCAAAATTACACAGCCAGGATTGCATGGGGAATGTGCTGGGAGAAGGCAGACAGCTGTGCTTGCTGTGGCTGCTAATGGAACACAGCAGCATCATTGGTTGAAACCAATGTTTGCTTTGCTCCTTACAGAGAAGGCAGAATGCTGCCAGTCCAAAGTCTCCATCAGGATCTTGTAGAACACTGAGGATTCTCCTGACTTTCCTTTTCTGAATTTCAGCTGAACCTCTCTGCCCAACTGCTTGCAGGTGTCTTGTCAGTGCTTCTCAGCCTCCAGGCTGAAGGGTCTGTGGGGTGTGCAGGCACAGCGTGGCTGATATGGGCTTGTAGGAAAATGAGTTTGGAACACTGAGCTGAAGTTCAGGCCTTGCAGAGTGTAAAACTCGACCTGAAGTAAAAATCGGAATTATTTGTGTCGCATCAGGCATTCAGGAGATGGAATTGCAAACTGTGTGTTTATTCCCTTGCCATTGAGCCCCATGTTTGACTATCTTCAGACATCTTAAAAAGGGAAAATAGAAATAAAAAGGCAGCTTTTGTAGGAGGGTTAGAATGAGGTGAATGACATTAGGAAATAGGGATAGGAAACCTCTCTGTCTTGTCTGTAGAAAATGACATGTTAAAGTAATCACAGTGGTAATAGAGAATAATGCACAAAGTATGAGCATGATGTTAGAATTTGAATATGCTCATCTGCTCTCAGAAATTTTCTGTCCTATTGTTCTGTTTTTACATCCAAGTCCTCTTCACCCTCAGTCTTCTTTGTTTCCTTCACTGGGAGCAAGGAATAGCTCCCTCCCAGCAAAGGGACTGTGGCTGACCCGAGGTGGGGAGGATCAGCTGGATCACTCCCTGTGCCTCTTTGGAATGTGGCGGGAGTATCAATAGCAAGCACCTACAGACATAACTACATTTGGGTGTCTAGAGCTCCATTTCACCCTTAACAAAATGATGTGTATTTTGCCTCCTTTCTTGCCAAGGGTGTGTAAGTATAAGACTGAATATGTTTACTCTGCAAGCCACATAATTATTCAGGAGGGGGTTTGTGTATTGATTTACTGCAGGAATTATCCTTCGATACTGCAGGAATTATCTCAACCTCATTGCTGAAACCTTTTTCCCTCCTAAGTGTATTCAGAACTTAGTTGTGCTTCTATTTCCACTGGCATCCTGTGCTCTAGCATCCATGCACACAGAATGCCACGAAGGCAAGCAGATTCCTGTGTTTTTTACAGCAAAGGGATCTGTGTTATGTGTTATTTATTGCCCTGCCTTCCTTTTCTTCCCCTTTTGCTCTCATCCCTTAGTATTTCATTCATCTCTTAGATCTTCTCTCTTAGGCTGTGATTAAGGGCATCCTTGGTCAAAGAAAAAGCTTTAGATTTGGAATATTTTCAACTAACTGTAATTCAGGATCTTTGTCTTTGTTTAGAGTCTTCAGTGGTGTTTTGGACCAGGATCTGCTCCAAAGGATTTGGTATCAAACTTGGCCTGGCAACAAATTTTTCTAGATTTGGGCAGTCCCAGGTGCTTTGGAGGGTTTACTTGTGTATTCTCCAAGCTCCCAGCAGTCATTTGCCACATAGATCTTCTTGTTCTGTAGCACTGACAGCACTATTTGGTGTCTGTCAGCAAAAAGAAAATATTAAGCTTGGCTTTGGGGTAGTTTGTAGGGAGAACAAGAATTGGAGGAGTGAAAAATCACAGCCAGCAGGTGACTGAAGAGGTCGAGTCACGTGGTGAGCAAAATATCACTCATTACAGTGGGAAACATGAACCTGAGTATCTTTTTTTTATGCAGTCAAGGTGGATTTGCTTCCCAGAATAGCTGTTCCCAGGGCAATAGACTGAAATAATTTTGGCCATGGTGTTTTAAAGGCTGTATGTAAATTTCCATTTCCTGCATTTATGAGTAGTAAAATAAGAACTCAGTGTTACTATCAGGTGTAACCAGTTATTGGAGTACTGTGTCCACGCTACTCTCAGCAATGTTTTGGGTGTTGCAGATGGTGGAGAGCAACACCGCAAGATTAATTTGTTATCTGGAAGATAAGCAAGAGTTTAAATAATCACAAATTCCTCATTTTCTCCAAGGAAGAACATACTGAGGTTTGGTGATGCAAATCAGTGGCTGTGGAAAGGAGTCATATGGGAAATGGATTTGTAGAGAATTTTTAAAGTTTGGTAGAAGGTTTATATAGAATTGTAGAAGATTCATGATGGGATGAGGATCTTCTAAAGGATTAGCCAAAAGTCTAAACAGTATGTCCCTGTCCATGCAGAGGATTGGAGCTAGATGAATGTTAGGTCCTTTCCAAACCAAACCA